CTTCTCCTTGCCACACACATCCTCACTAACAGTCATCCATTCCAACCCGGGGCCCGACCACCCCCTCTTCTGACGACAGGTTACGTGTTTTCTGGCGCTGACATACGTGGGTAGGTGCATTTACCTAAGCCTGGGCTCTTTACAAGGGCTGAGATCAACAGTTAGCTCTCGAGGATTCCCGAGGGAGTCTAGAGAAGCAGGTGCGTGTCAAGTGTGACCTCAGAGCCAGGGACGGTGCTGACGCGTGAACCAGAAACCCAATGGTGCAGAAGGGCTTCCTGGAGGTGGGCTGTGGTGTCATGAGAACCCTTGTTTGGGGTCAGTGTGGTCTGGGCATCTTTCAGATCTGCTCCTAAGCTCTGGTGTGGCAAAGGGCCTGCGCCGGGAAGGCGCACACCTGGCATCTCAGACACCCTCGCCAGATGGACCCGCGTTTCTGGGAAATGCCCACATTTCCAGTCATTCGTCAACATCCAGATTCCATCAGTAGATGTATGTGCCCCTAATCCAGGTGCGCCTAACGCCGCCAGCTACCGGAGCGGGCCAGAGGGGCCTGCCACCCCGTTCTCTGTCTCCAGCAGCAGCAGACCTCCTCAAGCAGACAGTGGCAGTGAAAAGAGATCACCCAAAAAAGCTATAAAAAGTAACTAACTGCCGCCGATAGGGGAATTAAGCAGGCCTTAAAGAAGGGGCTTGACTTTGACCAAGCAAGGAGGAGAGGCCATGCCAGGAAGCCAGTGGTCAGTGGCCACCCTGTGACTGCACCCTGGCGCCCCAGGGCCCCCAGCACCTTCTGATCGCAGGCCGCTGCCCGTCTGCCTGAGTCGCTTTTACTGTTAACTACTGACCGGTGTTTTTCTTGATCTTTTTCTTTAGATGATTCAAGGACTTGTATCTCACAATTTGAATGAACAAATACCTTCTACTAGTAATTCTAAATTTTCTTTTCTGAGCTCCATTTCTATTCACCTATCAGAGGCTGAAAAGCCCCGTATTTAACTGCTGTCAGAAACTATCTACTCCACAGAACTTATCTTTCACCCCCGCGGATTCACCCGGTTGATCTCCTCGAACAGCTTCGTGAGCCGACTTCTCAAGTCCTGTCACAGGCATCACCCTAACGCTCACTGTTCTAGTCACACGCTGGTCTGCACTGTCACTTCCTTAACTGGTCCTCCCGTAAACGTGGAATCTTTCCTACAAGGTTGCCTGTGCTGACAAAGCGCAAGTCACACTTACCTTGCTTCTGTGTCTCTTTATACACACAATGCCACAGATAGGATTTGTACTAAGATAATGGCTCGCTCTGCATGGCCAAGAATGAGACTAATGATGTCAAATAAGGCTGAGACTTAGCTCATGGAGAGCAGTGTTGAGAATAAGTTAGGAACCCTCCAACTCTGTGGAAACACCCCAAGGGGGCCACCGACCCTCATGCTGTGGCAGAGCGATATTTTTAGAACACAAATCGGACTTTATCAGGGCCCAGGAGCCCAAGATGGCCTCTCCCTGCTGGGGAATTCCACGCTCCTCGGCCGTCTCAGTCCTGCAGCGGCCCCGACACGCGGGACTCATGCCTCCGGTCCTCCGCAGCTCTGTACATGTCACCGCCTCGTCTTTAATTCCCCGCTGCCTCCTGTGAGCCCTACTCACACAAGAAAGTGCTATGCGTTGTGGAGTTTCCCCGCCTTCCTGGGGCGAGTCAGTGGTTTTCTGCCCCAGGGCCTGGTGTCTGCCCTCAATAACCCCACACCATGCCGTGTTGACTGGTTCCTCTGTTTCCACCCTAAAGCCCAGGACTGGGAATGATGCTCCTCTCAGGTGCTGCACAGAAGAAAGCATCTCTGGGTGGGAGTGTAACACTGGCAAAGGTGCAGTCCAGGCAGGTAAGAAGGGAAAGAAAGGGAGAGACGTAGGAGTGAAGGATGGAGTAGGTAGAAAGGAAGCCTTCAAGAGTCATTCCGAAAGTCTGGCATGGGGAAAGAAATGAGTAAAAGATGGAAAATGTCTCACAGCCTGTTAAAGCACAGAGCGGCTGGCCAAGGGTGAAGGCAAAAGCGAGCAAGTGGAGAGGTCTAAAAAGGGGGCACAGCACCATGGGGACCCCTCAAGGGGAGAACACCATTCAGCTGAGAAGCTTTCCCCTGTAGGCTTCAGGATTTTCATTCTTTCAGTTTCCCAAAACATGCGGAAACAATCTTTGGGGCTGCTGCCTCGGCTGCTGACAATAACCCACAGCCACTTCATTCTGAGTAGCCTCTAGGGCCGCTTCCTCTCCTCCAAGCCATCGCTCAAGCTCCTAGAGAAGTTCTGATTCGTTCACACCTCCAACAGTCCCTATGAAACCTCCGGCCCACAGCCCAGCCAGAATCCAGCGCCCCTCCCCAGCAGGAGAAGCACCTGTCCTGGCGGCAGTGCTGCCTGCTGTGAGCCCGGAGGGCGCAGACCAGCATCTGGGGGCGCTGCAGAGACCCGCGGCCTGAGACCCCGCCCCTCAAAGCCCCAGAGCTGTGGCTCTGTGGGAACCTCGCCAGCCAGCCTGCGGCCTGTCCTATTCTGCCTAAGGCCACCTGATCGTTCATTTGCAACAGTACTCGAAGGCCCTCCTTGAGACTGGCCAAAAGATGCATTTTCTAACCTCACGCTGTCCTAAGCTGGGGAGAGATGACTAGCTCTACTTTAAGACAAGGAGTCAGGCTTCTAGGACAAACCCCATTTTATGACTCTTTAATAGACGATCATGCAAAAAGTTTATTAAGAACCAAGATCATACTTAACTCGTCTCTGGGTACCTAGAGGCAGCCTGATGCGATGCGTGATGCAGTTTTCCATGAATCCCTGTGAGTTACCCTCACCAGCACCCCCTGGCACCCTGCTGCTGCTGGCCCAGAGCCCCTCAGAACCCCTCTGGCGGGCTTTGAATCTGACCATGACCTGGGACAGCTGTAGCTAGCCAAGCTGAAAAAGCTTAGTAACTTCCCCTTCTGTCTCGGCAGACCACTGCTCCTACCCGCGCGGCCGAGCCCGCTCGCACAGGAAGCCCGCTGCCCGCTGCCCACGCACGCACCTGCCGTCCCGTGACCTGTGGAGGCTGCCGTGGTAGCTGCTCACTTTGCTGTGGACACTCCCCGCTTTGCTCCTCTGGTCGTCCACCATGGCCAGCTGAGTGGAAGAGGCGTGCGTCGATGTCCCTTGGGTGGAAGTTCCTCTTGATTTTCTTATAATGGGAGTATTGGGGTCCCTCAGGAGGGACTGCGCAAAATCTGGTTCCTGGAGCACCTGTCGACTCTCATTCACGATCCTGGACGGCAGAATCATAAGTTCAGCGTACAGGCTGACATCCCCATAGGCCAATAAACAATGCTTCTGCCACACACTGGCGTTGTTCTTGAAATTAACTGTTCTCCAAGTAATGCCTTTAGGACAGACATATGGTAACACTGCTGGCCAAGGAAAGAAAACAACAAAATCCATGCCAACCTGTCCCCTAGAGGGGTCTGATGGAAAGAGGCCTGGAGTAAAATAAGCAAATTAGGATTTGAATTCCAACTCTATGAATCAACTATGGGCTCTCAGGCCACTACAAGTCACTTCACTCACCTTCCTCCCCTCTAAGATGAAGGTGTGTGACTTAGTCACCTCTAAGACGTCTCTTTCAGGGAGAGAAATGTATGATTCTTAAGGACATTGAGACGTTACAAAGATAACAGAGTATTTTCTCACATGGAAGTAGCTCAGGTCTTGGTGTGGCACAGAGCAGTTATTTTAAGCTGAAAGTTGATCTTTATGGCGGAAGTAGTTGTCCAGCACTGGAGAAAACATGCGTGGTCATAGTTATAATGAAACATGAAAACTAACTTAAGTAAACATACAATTAAGTCCCAGACATATTAGAGACATATTAAGGGGGAAGAAAATTAAGAGGATGAATTACTGTCGAGAGCAAAAGTTTGTAACTACTGTGAACAGCAGACAGCCGTTTATCATGATGAACAAAGCAGTAATTAAACTCATAAAAGAGCCGGTTAACTAGTGGCAAAGCCCACGCCTCAATTTATGTGTAAGTGACAACTCTGGGAATCGAAGTCAAAGTGAAGTTAGGGGAGCGATGTCACTAAAAACTAACACACCAAAGTAAAAGTGGACCTGAGGCTGAGCAAGCAGGGAGCTGGTTCGCAGAGCCCAGATGGGTCGCAGGCATCCCTGGATTCGCGCTGGGGGGAGGGGCCCACTGTCCGCACTGAGCGAGCTATCTACATCCGTTCTCCTTGATCCTCTCAACTTCACCATGGAGGTCCGTGTCGTAAGAGGAAACTTCTAAGGGGATATTAGTTATATACTCTAATAACAAGAAGTGTGGTCCCCACTTAATGGACAAAACTGAGGTCCTAAGGTTAAAAAGCTTTCCATGTCACTCAACAAAACCAACATTTGGGTATAAGGCTCTCGTTTAAATGGCTTAAAAGTAGTGACGAATCATAATTTTATGTAGATCCTGAAAATAAAGTCTCAAAAGTCAGAGAGAATAAAGAACTGTCAAAACTTGTTTAAAAGACCATTTGCTCCTCAGCCCTCAGCGACTCTTCCACACAGGGTCACGACTGCTAACGTTGTTTCCTAACTTGGTTCAAACTGACTTCTGGCCATTTCAAAAGGGTAATCTGCCCTCAAGGGGTGAAGGTTTCGTTCCCTCATTTTACAGAAGAAAGGTTCAGAGCATTAAGTGATGTGACCCAGATAATTCCAAAGAAGACTTCTTAAAATATTTCAGGGTCAGAATTATTAGCATAAACATAGTGTTAAATGTGGCTTCACATTTAAGAGGGGGAGAATTTTAACTTGGTTAGCACAATTCTAGAGGGCAGTCTCGTTATAGCACGTTATACAGAATAGCTGGAGCAGACCCAGATCACGGGGGCTTGAGTTCTAGCATTCACGAGCGATGAAAATCTCAGCCCCGTGCCTCTTATTCATGAAATGATGATCTTCCCCCGTCCCTCACAAGCTTGTTTAGAGGATTAGATTACTGCATCACAGATAAAATGCTTAAAACAGTGCTCAGAGTATTAAATATGGGCAACTCTCTGGTAACCATTATTATGATTATTACTGTATAATCCTACCTCAAGTGCAAAACCAGGAAAATGCTGGAAATAGTTTCGGGGTGTTCAGAACCTGTTAGTCTAGATTTTTGCTGATATTTTGCTTAGTGACTGGTTTAAAAAATCTAGATTCAACATCTAGGTTCTTTCTAGAAAAAAGGGCTGCTGGCCTGTAGCACAGTCTGCGCTTGGAGGGTCAAAATGCCTGTTGGAGGGGGATCTATGACTACAGAAAACCCAGAAGTGGAGGATCCTGGGGAGTCCTAACCAATTCCAAAAGGATTCTGGCTTCCAGGCAAAAGCCCCCAAATAACCAGGATCAGTCTCCATAAGGGTATTTTGCATTTAACTCTATTAGGTATTTTTAATACAACCCTACTACATAATTGTTCATGTATGGTCCAGAGGGGACCAGGGATGCTTAATTCAAACTCTTTCCTCAACATCCTATCATAATGTGATTGGATGTGAATCCATTGAAATTGTCCAAGAGTACACAGATACGGCATAGTAAATTCCCCAGGAAGGAGGGGTTTCCAGCAACTGGGAGCTGGCCTGTTTTGTTCTATTGAATCCCTGGTACCCAAACGGTTCAAGCCCCACTGGGAGCCTTCAGTTAATTTCCTAAAGGATGAATAAATGCATAGCAAGTACATTTTGCTGTTATTAATGGAATCTTTTTCCTTCTCTGACATGTGAAACTGTATTTAAAGAAGAAATGCAGGCCCTCCCTGGTGGCGCAGCGGGTTACAGCACAGCACTAAGAAGCTAAAGCCACTTCAGCACGAGTTTCATCCCGGCCAGGAAGTGACCCACATGGCGCGGCAGACCTCTCCTGTCTCCCCGCTGCTCCCCTTAGCAGTGTACTTCCTCAGTCCACCTGTTCTGCTCCCCACTCTGTCTCTGGTGAATTCTCTCACCACCCCTGCACCTCTGACCTGTACCCCAGTTCTTTATGCATGAATAAATACATCTAAAAAAAGAAGAAGAAATGCAGTCCCAATCTTAACAGCAGCAGTCTCAGGTAGGGTAATACATATATGTGTGGATATGTACAAATACATATTTTTTACATCCGTATACATATATATATATGTTAAAACTGTGATTACTTTATCTCAGTCTATCTGACCAACAGAAACTGCTAATTCCTGGCATTTTAGAAAACACGAATTGTGTTAAAGAGGTGCTTTAAGCTATATCAGAAAAATACAGTAGTCCCCAGAAGGCAGAACATTTAAACATAATCCCAGGGGCTTTCCAAAACTCAGTCATGATCACCAGGAAGTAAAATCAGAAAAATATGCACTCTACGGACTGAGAATTTGTGGTAGTTCAGATAAAGCACACACATAAGACATGACGCAAAAAGGCTGAAGTCAATTGTATTTTTGTGACCACTTCAGGTTATGTTTTGTTTTGTTTTATAAATTATGCTCTCAAATTGACTTTGGCTTATGTCATGACCATCTAATACAATGTGGTCAGCTAGGAATTAAAATAATTTCCTCAACATATTTCACTTTATGTGCAACTGTTTGTCTGCTTTGGCTCTACATTTTTTCTACTTTGGCCTAACATGTACGGCATCAATGATGAGGTAACACTTGTCACTGACGGGACACTTGGGGGCACAATGGGTGAGCGGAAATGGAAATCTAACGCCTCTGTCTCTCTGGCCAGGACACTTCAGCTGGCTGTGTGCAGTTTCTGTGGCTACACAGAGGTGATGACATGCACCAGCACCCACACGAATAGCAAGAGGGTCAATTATGAAAGCATATAAAAAGTGTTAATTTGATTTTAGTCTTAAGAAAATATGGCCTCCATGATGGCACAGGGGTTAAAGTCAGCGCTATCAAGCTTTTCCAGCCACTGGGTCCTGAGTTTGACCCCCGGCCAGGGAGTGACCCACAGGGCCCAGCAGCCTCTCCTGTCTCGTACACTGCTCCCCTCAGCAATCTATTTCAGTAGAACTGCCTGTTCTGCTCCCCACTGTCTCTGGTAAAGCCTCTCACCCCTCCCCCACTGGCCTGGACCCCAGTTCTTACAAGCATAAATAAGTAAAAATAAACCTTTTTTTAAAAAGAAATTATTATTGGAATTTTAAAAATAAAGATGGCCTCCCAGGCCCTGCCTGGTGGCGCAGCAGGTTAAAGCACAGCACCAAGAAGCTAAAGCCACCTCAGCATGAGTTCAATCCCCG